ATTTATGCCTTTTGGGATTTGAGGAATTATTCGATTCGTCAATTTTTAATTCAAAATCAATCGAGTCCTGGAATAGATCGAGGCAAGCATTTTTTCATTCGGGTCAACAGTTGAATTCCACCAGGATAATGATCCCTAAGTTCTGTTATAGTTCAAATTATCCAAACACTAAATGACTGGTATCAATGGAACGTTGCACTGGCATTGTCAATTGTTTGAACATTTTATTCCTTTATATTCTAAATAGTTCTAAATAGTGTTGGCTGTATCCTAAATTTGGCTGACGCCTGACTGTCACAATATCCGCCTTATATAAGATGTTTCATTAAGATGAATCAGGGTATTTGATATAGAGTTTGTTGTTTGATATACGTGTTTATGGTTTTCTCGTTGATAAGATAGTATAAATTGAGTTTTTGCAGCCCTCTCAACCACACCTCCCAGTACCCGCATAGGCATGATAGCAGCTGTATCAGCTATAAAACAGCGTAGAAACTCGCAGAGAAGGTACTTCGGTTACATGAAACCATGGAGTGGCACCGGGAACACAGGTTCTTCAGGATCAGCCTTCGCATCTTTGGTTTTAGCTGGGTAATAATTGATTGTCGAAAGCCAATTTAGGGTTGTTTATAGAATATACTATATAGATATTACATTAGATATTCTGGGAAGAGGAAATTTTCATCAATCGGCTATACAGTAATTATAAGATGTTAACTAAAAATTGTGGAGTGTGGACAAAGATGTGCGTAAATGATGAAATCCGCCTAAATTTAATCGATATTTATATCTTTAAATTGTTTGATCATACGAAAACCATATCGCATGTAATCATCATGATCGTATCCGATTAAATCTGGCTCAACAATGACGCGCAAGAATTGGCATTATGCCAGGTAGACAGGTAGTTATCACATCAACAGCATGTTTGTCGCTCGCTGCGTGAGTCATGATAATAAGACCACTTCAGTAACGTTTCTCGGGCGCGGCTGAACCTGCAGCATGTAATAATGATGAGATGTTGATCTGAGAGACCTATGAAGCTGGTTCGAGAGCTGAACTGCCAACCCCTAGACCACGTGGGGTGGTAGTGACCTGCGCAGTTTACAGGACAGTATTACAAGGCATTTACCCAATTAACCCGCAGCTATTATACAGGGTAATCAGCGGACAGCTCATAGCACTGCTAATTTCCGAGAGGGAAGAGAATCTTATGACTTATCTCATGCTTATGTACACGATTTATGTATCTTGCAGGCTACTCTCATCCTGACCTGTTAAACCATTTCAGAGCTGGTTTTGTAACCACAAAAACCTCGACCAGCCAAGTCTTAGCTAATAGAGCTGTAGTGGACACATTAGTGATTACTGCCTTTCCGGGCTGATATCATTTGTATTGGTAATAGTTTTGGTTTGTTGAGCTTTTGTTCTTGTTCATCATCATCATCATGGCGTTCTATGTCCTCGGAACTAACAACACTCATAATACTCCCCGAGTGAGGCATGATCAGGAGTACAGCAGGTAAGAAAGCTAAATAGTACAGAGAGTGAGACATGATCAGGAGTACAGCAGGTAAGAAAGCTAAATGGTACAGAGAGTGAGACATGATCAGGAGTACAGCAGGTAAGAAAGCTAAATAGTACAGAGAGTGAGACATGATCAGGATTACAGCAGGTAAGAAAGCTAAATAGTACAGAGAGTGAGACATGATCAGGATTACAGCAGGTAAGAAAGCTAAATAGTACAGAGAGTGAGACATGATCAGGAGTACAGCAGGTAAGAAAGCTAAATGGTACAGAGAGCGAGACATGATCAAACCATTACTATGGGGATCACAATTAACACAATTTCTCTTATGTAGTTGACTGGCATCCATTCTGAAGTTAAATTACTAATTGATCTCTAAAATTTTTAAAGTAATACAAGGCTTAACGAACGTGTGTACAGCGGGAACCAAAAATTACGGCTAAAGACAGTACAGATAAACTTTCCAAAAAGGGTGGCAGATCTCATCATGATATTATCATTTCCAATTTCCATGGACACTATGGAAGAACACGGCCCATGATAAAATTAGTATTGCAAATTAAAATTACACGTTTTGATTTTAAATTTTGCTCATAGGCGTCAATATATTTTAAATTAGTATCAGTCAACTTATTACAATATCTTTAACCGATAAAAGTTGATGACATTCAACAACTCAACTACTTATGATTTGACAAAAGTTGTTAACTATGTTCAGTTTCACAACTACAATTAAATAAATTTGCTGAATATTATGATGGAAGCGTTTTAACCAGTTGTAGCCAGTCCACACCCTGGCTACATAATATGAATAATTTGTTTTAATTCTAGATAAAAAGCTCGGATAAAAACACGTGGAAAGAAAATGTTTCAGAGCATCAGAAAATGTTTAATCTTTGATATTATTATCAAAAGGTTTGACATCCCGTATGTTTTGCCAGCAAATTTACAAGTAATTGAACATCAAAATAACAATCATGAATGATAAATTATACGCTCATTTATGCGGATCAAATAGATTGACGCTTATAAGCTAAATTAGAAGTTCAATTATGTAATTGTACAGTTGGTATTTTGAAGTAAGTATATTGATTGGTACGTCGCGTCTCTGGTTCAGCCTTAGCCATAGTGTTCACTATAACGCGAGTTTCTCTTTCGCATGATCCACCGTACTGCTCACCTTTTAGAAAAATTTCCATCGTAGTGATCTGAACCACCGTACCGCCACTGGAATGTAATAAAGCCTATTATTTTTTGAACCCTATTGACCTATCGTCTTATACCTTCTTTTGACTTATCGGCAAGTATAACAATATGGTACAGAATATAGTAGCCTTTGATTAGGAGATGAAAAAATTTAGATAGAGGGGGGAATAAAGGTCATTGTAAATTTCTAAACACTAAAGCTTATTGTAATTATTTCCTGACAATCTGAGCTCTATTTAAATCAAGAAAATTCGGATGGTCTATATGATGAAACATAATACTGCATCTCCCAGGTTTTATTAAGTCAGTGCTCAGTCTGATAAACAGTTTCTTTGTTTACAATTATCCAAAACCACCTCGTGCTATTTTTAAAAATCTTACATTGTTGATCTATTAACTGGTTCACTTATATTGGCAGTGGGATTACTCAGGCAAATACCGTGACCGTTCCTTTTCTGTTGCAATTGGCTGAATACTCTTACAAAAAGTTCGAAACACTAGCCTAGGTTCAGGGCGACACATGCCATTGGTTCATCTTTGCCGAAAGTGCCTTCTCATAAGTCTCAGTCTGTGAATTGTCTCATTTTGCATGAACTAATTGATCATATGTCCATCTGTTCTTTTGTCATTCGTAATCAAATTTGGCCTTAACAATGGGCATATCAGTAACCTCATACAGGGTAAGTACAACCAAATAACCGATGGTGAAAGGAGACCAATGGATAAAGGATGTATTACAAAACCAAGCATATATGACCATGCTAGTCCGAATCTATTGTCACATTTGACTTTTTCGTGTGATTTTGTTCAACGCCAAGTGCAGTTTATAGCCAAATAGTCCGAGTAGATTGTGCTAATATGTACGGTATTTTGACGGCTGGGCAGAACCAGGGGAGACGACGCAGACCTGGTGCCCAGTTTTCTGGGTCCAGCTCGGACGTGAATAAGCCACCATGCATGCTTCAGAGGAGGAAAGCAAGAGCTTCCATCAGCATCATTGACATGTAAGATAATCTTGATAATATAGTTCGGTTGTCCATAATAATGAAACGTTGTCAGTTCCTGTTTTCATACGAACCGATTAACACAAGGAAAATAAATGGCAACTCGCAACTTTTTTTAGATAACTGAATATGATGGAAATGCTTTGCCAATGTTCGGACGGCTGTATCACAACCGATGGCCTATCAATTTGGCTTCCTCTAATTTCGTGAAACAGTATCTCTCAAATTCTTATTGAGTAGGGACTTAGTTAAACAGAAAGCGGTACACACGAAAGGAAAAAGTTATTTTACCGTGAAAATTGAGTCAAAATTGTGTTGATTTGTCATCGGACACATGAGTGGGCATTGGGCAACTCAAACCAAATATCATTGGGCAGATAGACTTAAATCGTCATTAAAAAGAAGCCTTTTTCATCCCACAGCTAAAGATTTAAAAGTCTCACTCACTCACTCCATATGTTAACATGTTAAATGCAGACGACTCTCAAATGCCGATCTTATCCCTCTATCGACGTGGTTACAGTCGCTACTCTAGTACTCTATGGTACGGTATGATCATCATTAAGACATTATCGGCGGACTCTACGGCCACGCTACAACTCCGTTGAGTCACTATATTCGCGTACGTTGCCTACTAAGTGAGCTCTAGTCGCCTGAATTGTTCATTGATAGTGTGAGTCAAGGATCTAGACCAGATCATCGTTTTGTTTGAAAGTTGCACGGCAAACTAGCGCTTTGAAGCTCACATCAGATACTGTGGCAGCCTCACAACTGCTTTGATCATAATCAAGTTATTTATTTCGCTCTACAATTTCCCTTTTTGTCTTTTGAATGGAACATTGCAGTCAAGAACTGAGAACATAGTTCTGGTGAATTGTTATACTGTCAACAGCGCACAAAGTGTACGAAAATAACAGCGTCTGCGACTTCTTAGATCAGGTAAACGCCTTTAGATATCTAGTACAATTTATTTTTTGCTTCTTGTTTAGAAATAGCTTCGTCAAAGCGTTAGTGCCATCCATCTTCGTCGTTACGATTTTTTCTCGTTTTTGCTCTGTCTTCCTAAGACACTAAGACACGTTTTGTCTCTTCTAAGAGATGATGATTGCCGCGTCGAGGTGGGCCAAAGTCCGGAATGAAGCGAGGAGAGTGGAGGAGGCTTCTACATCTAGACAGGCGCATCTGGATGACATTGTTCAAGAACTTGTTAAGAAGAACCAGCAGTCGGAGGAAGACACAAGGTAACCCTATGACTTTTCAAGTTGTGACATTCTCGAGAAACATCGAAATATCCAATTTTATATGCATGTTATAGAACCCTCATCGAAAGTCGATGACAGGAAAATTTCCCGAAAAGTCCGAAATGTATGCTAAAAGTCTATGATTGTAACCTACCGTTACTTGACTGACACGTCGACCCTGTGTCTGACTCCAATTTTAAGTGCCATTTAAAAAGTTGTTAGCTTTCGATTCTCAAATTTTACCGCATGACAAACACCTTCAACTATTTGGCTGTGGTATTTTGTGAGGTGGTCTTTCTAGAAGGGTTTATTTAATACAAAACCATAGTTACTGAGCAGCATGTTCTCTCCTGGCTCCAGGTATCAACAGGTCTTACATACTCCAATCCAAGCAATGCCGCAGGAATTTAGAATTTCCTAACACCAGATCTTAATGAGCTTTGTTCCGTGGTACGTTCTGACGTTCTGTTCGTATTACGATTGTGTCCCTTTTGGGAACCATTTCTTATTGTTGCTGACACACATTTCTATTCAATTCTTTTTTGTAGAATTTGGCTTACGTTCTATTAATAAACATTGAACAGCAATTTAGAAATTGTTTAAAAATTAAGAGAAAGTTAAGGTTGATAAACGAAAACCTCCGTATTATCCAGAACTTCTAATTAACCTGGTGGCGCACGATACTTTGCTAGTGCCGACATTTAGCTTAGCCAGTTTAAGTCAACTACTTTCTAATGCGTTGCTTGCGTTTATAGAGTATCGTTATATCGTTTAGTTGGAAGAGATAAACTCAGGCCGACAACCATGTCGGTCACAACCTCTACCTCCACCCTCAACGCCCGGCGGTCGTCGTTCGCACCGCCAGACATGTCCAATGTACAGTTCCAGCACCGCCAGTCGGTTAATCAGCACTATGCCAGAGCCTTCAGCTTACCTAATGGTACCCTACCAAGCTCGTAAGTACTTATACCGTGGTTGCCTGGGTTTAAACAGATATATATATAAGCATTGAACGGCACAATCTGCATGCACATTGCACAACACATACAAAAGCAAGTTTTTGATAATAAGATTAATGGGATTTATAATTGTAGAAGCCTTATTTGTAAGTAAATTGTCAGAACCGCATCCTGAGGTAAATAAAATAAACATATGTTTTCCAAGAAGCATTTCTCCAATTAGCTCGTTCCGTTGGTTTAAGTCCGGCAGGCATGTCTTCAGTACGAATTAATTGTCCTTGCTCAAAGACCGACATATTAGCTTACAGTATCTGCTTGGTGTACGGAGTTTGTATCATCACCGTCGGAGTTTACCTTTCTTTGGTGTCACTTCAAGCTTCCAAGAACAATGAAACAGTACATGCTCATCCTTAACAAATAACCTATTTGACACCTTCCTTTCCGATCGAAACTTAAGACAAAAAATCCTAGTGAGTTGGAGATAAATTACCTGTACTTCAGGACAATATAAAATCCGCAGAACTAAGAGTTATTTTTTGCTATATTTTTGTCATTAAAAGAGAACCTACCTGGCACCATCCTCTCCGAAGCTTTGGACAAAATCCTAATGAGTTGGAAATAAATTTGCTTGAACTTCAAGATAATATAAACTCAGCAGAGCTAATAAATTTATTGTCTGAATTAGACAGATGTCTAGACAACTTCACCTTTGATAGTACCTACCCTGAACTACCCTACGTTGTAAGAATCTACCATAGTCCCTGGAATTTTCCTTTGTTCTTACTTCTTACGGCCAGAGCAGACTGCAATTGACCGAATTCCTACGTTAGCCAGCTCGCAGTTGAAATCTGGTCAACTATTTTAGTCTACGCTAAAAAGCAGTAACAGAGCCGGCAAGGTTGTTCCGTTCCAAAGCAGAAAAGTCATGAAATTAAATCTGTTCAACATCAATATGGGGAGTTTTCGTAAATTTGTTTCTTCTTGTTATTCCTTGTCATGAATTTGGGACGATTTCAACAATGGTGTTTGACGGACGATCTGATAACGTGACGATATGTATCCTTTACATATTGACCAACCTGTTAGGATTGGTCCTGTATGAGTCACTGTATTTAGTGGAGATAATTAATTCATCCGAGAGATGGAAGTCCAACGCCACAGACGAATATCTCGACAATGGTAGAAATTAGCTGACCTCTGTGGATATGTTGCTGTATCAGAACTATTATATAATGCCATGGACAGGTACGAAACTTCAAAGGATAGGCGCAGGTATCTGGATTATCAAGTGTTTGTCTATGATATGATTTGTAACATCTTTCACTATCGAAAAAACGCATCTCCTATATAATTCGAATAAACATCATTCCCACGGACGAACAATGACCAGCTAATTTACATTTTATTGACCAAGATTTTCACAATTCCCTACTAATCGTGCATCACAAATCCAAATCAAATAATTCCATGGAATGAATGGGGATCATTTGAAGACATTGTATTATTATATTGGTCATGTTGTCATTCAGACTTTCTGTCCTTCCTGAGCTTGCCTTATCATTCATGTCTCAATTTATGGATAAATCAAAAATACAGCACACTAATGATCTCTTCCACGTGCGCATGCCATTTTAAAAAATCTCTCCATTTTTACAGGAGGTAAACAATCAGACTCATTCTGTATAATTATTAGAAATGCTTCAGAAACAATGGCCCAAAAATTTTTCCCCGTTCGCATCAGCCCATGTGTTGAGGTCATTAAATATTTGGGATCATTACCCATTATATACTTCCTGGATTTCAAAAACCGCTCGCATGTCAGGTATCATGTGGATTGTGGATCAGGTGGTGAAAGAAGCTTCGTGCGCGTGTAGTTGACATTTCGACGACTGTCCGGTACTAATTCTAAAACAATGTGTATAGGAAAATATTAAACAATAAAGATGGGTGAGATAGTCGTTTACAATCCGTGTACAATAATACAGCGCTCAAATACAGCGCAGCGTTTTTCATTTTGTCGACTGGTCGTGTATTGTGGAGGTAGTAGTGATGGTTTAGTTTTGTGTGGAGAGTTTGTTCAAGCAAAAGTTGTGGAATATGTACGGAGTTCTCGCCCAGGTTACGAAGTGAGTGGATTGTTATATTTAATATTATGTAAGCTAGTTAAGCTGGTCTACTTGTTACCTCTAAAGGTATGTCGGCATGTTTCAAGTATATTTTGTTAATGAAAAATTTAAGAAATAGTCTTTTTATTTTGAGGTCGTAAACGTGATTTCGTTCAATAGTTTCAACATTGTGCTCACACCTGATATGAATAGTCATTAGTCATACTAGGAAATGTCAAGGTCATGCTCATATGGGTATAAATATTATAGTGGACTAAATTATGGCCAATTTAAACACACATGCTTACCTCAACGGAAGGACTTGGCAGTTGACGTTTGAGATAACTCCTTGTGTCAAGAAACCAAAGGTTGAACCTTCTTTACGCACATCTAAGGTTTAACATGCCTTATGGTGTTGAAATGAAACATTCTATCGCCAACAAGGAACTCAGATCTACACATCAGTATCATTAAACCAAAAATATTATATCATCACTCTCATTCACATTGTACCATCGGGCAACATGATCAGAGTGTCTGAGGAAAGCAACATTATCAGACTTTCAAGATTTCACGTGCAATAACGAAAGTGCTGACAACTGTACAATCTTTCTACTCTTATCTGTGTCTATGCTGAATACTAATAGGTATTGTTGGCTAGTCACCAACTGGAATCTGATTCTTTTCAATAGATCAATGTAAAATTTACCTGCTACTAATTAAATTTCCAACAATCTAGTTATCCGTCTATCACGGTGTAACAGGAAGAGGCAATGGTCCGATCTCCTTGCTCTACACCGGGCACATGATAACCGTTAAATTGCAGTTTAATTAATAGTTAATTACAGCGGTACTGAATCCGAACGGTCTATGAAGTTACATCACTTCAAGCAATCTTCTGATGGTACATGCTCACTTCTGATTATCATAATTCGACTATTACTTCTGCCAGACGTACCGTCAATTTACCGCAATCAAAAATACAATTTTGTTGATTTGTTTCTGATGCTCAACCACCACCACCATGTACTTCTCAATCTCTGCAAAGAACCATCCCTCCGATCTACAATCCCCCCTCCCGAGGGACCGGAGAACAAGTAGTAGTTGGAAACAGCGCCCACCCCCTCCCAGCTCCCAACTGAGTGCAGTGCTGGTGACAGACTCCCACGGAGAGAAGGGAGACGGCTGGGCCGCAAGGAAGTGGCATGAGAGCGGACTGTTAGTTGTTCTCATATTCAATTGTTCTTTTTAATGCTATTGTATTTTTCCACTTTGCAGCCATGGAGTTTCGTCGACATAGCACCAATTATAACAAATACGTCCGGCGATTTATTAGGTGGTCATCTTTAGCATCTAGATGGCCACATAAACCAGGCTCAGGTATATATTATCTAACAAAAGGTCGTATAAACTATATAAAGGTCGTTGGTATCCAGATAAGGTCATGCCGCCGCTCCTGTTCACACGTTGACCTCAACTCAGCTACTACCAGCTTCCTTCAGCCCAGGTGCGAACAACCTTATTGCAAATAACATAGCTAAAAAGTGACAATGACTCTGTTGGAGCTCAAAAGATACATTATGCTGAGTCCGGAGGCCCAGCCATCATCGAGCCAGTAACTTTTCCACTTGTCCAGCTTCATCAGACCTCCGAAAGCAACTTCAGGCCTCCCCGCAGATCCGTGACATTTTCCTGGCTTTAGTCACGTGTATCCAATTTCCCAACGGCTTTATAATTAGCATTTGGTTAGTCAAGCGGGGTTATCACTGAGTCACACATACATTGTTAAATTGTCAACGTCCTTTTAACCCTCCTTTTAACAGGGGTTAGTCAGGTTCCGCAGTTTTAGATAAAATGCTAGCGTGACCACTTTATATCAATTCGTGTCTGTTCCGTCGCCAGAATTTATTGTGCTACCTTTTAATTGGTTGTGAATTTATCTCAGACACGGTCAAAAATTTGGTGCAATCACGACAGACGCGAATTGATTACTACTGATAAGCTTCACGCCAGTATTATTAACTTGTCATTAATTAGATATTCAATTAAATTTTGATAATAACAAAAATTATATACAACTTAAAGTTAAAGGCTATTTAATAGCTATTTAACTCGGTAAGATTCGTGATCCTCTACCCTACCAAGCACAGGATCCCATAAGACTAGCAGCTAGTAGCTTAGGTTGTCTGCTACAGTGTCCCGCCATTTTTAATCTCTTGCTTTGAATTAACTACTCCAGAACCCACTCTCCAGACTTGCTATGTATCTTGTTTGATAGCCTTGATATGCTAGACAATACAATGTATACTCTTCAGTAATAGATTTGCAGTGTTGAGATCATAAATCTAACCGATACTAAGGAAATCATGGCTTTGGCGGCCATAATGGCGAACAATTCGGTTCATTGGTAAGTTAATTGTATCTATAATCTATATGCTATAGGGCTGGGTGACCCATGAGTCAGTTTGCAAACGTTTGGGCTTATAACATTGTTCATGTTTGATACTCACAACTTTACAGATGACAATATATACTGTTACTACCTACTCTTTCGAGGAATCCATTGCCAAAATTTTAAAATTCAATTAGAAAATGATCTGAACAAATTATGCGAAACGGACTCAACATGACGAAGTGATCAAGCATTTTTTCGGGTGATCAGGAAAAGTGTAATTTGAATGGCCAAACACAATACATTACAATTTGGTTCGATCTAATCATTTAAAAAATCTTAAAAATGAACTTTTCTGAGAAAAAATGATCATCGTTTTAATTTTATTCGACGGATTCCTCGAATTAGTAATGATTGCAAGTCATACCAGAAAGAATTATTTTAATTGGGCACACAGGGACTGAGCAATAAGTTCAAACGTTTGCACATTAACTTATGGG